TTGGGTGTTCTGAGTAGTTTACCGTTTAGGTCGAAAATGATTTAATTGGTAGAGTTGGTGTTTTATTGGGTAAAGTCGGGAATAAATAGTGTGGTTTAGTTGTAGAATGCTAGGATAAGACCACTGGGACTGGTTTGGTGAGAATCAGATGGGTTTTGAGCTCCTGATGAATTTCTGAATAGTGAGGGTTTTATAAAATCGCAGACGTTCGCTAGCACCTTCGCTGAGAGAGCTAGTAGCGAGCACTCGCTAGGAATTCGCTAGGCGAGTTCCAGTAGCTACTGTCTGCCTTCGATAGCGAGTTCGCTAGGCGAGTGAGGCAGCGAGCATTCGCTGAGGCCTCGCTAGACGAGTGAGCCAGCGAGCGTGACAAAAACGTGATTTTTGTGCTGTTTTGTTTTGTGATTTATTCTGTAGGACTCCTTGGGTTTTGATAGGAAGAGAGATGGTGTTTAGTGGCGAAGAGTGTATACCTGGTGTTGAAAGGTGAAATTATGGAATATAGGATATAATTGACATAATTAATTGGTGGGTAAGATGTGTATATATATATATATATATATATATATATATATATATATATATATATATATATATATATATATATATATATATATATATATATATATATATATATATATATGACGCATAGTGAGGTGATTGAGAGGATCGTATGTACTCGGTGTTCAATGTAAATTTCCCTATTATTTAATTTGATTGACATAAGCGATTGGTGTGTGTGTGTGTGTATATATATATATATATATATATATATATATATATATATATATATATATATATATATATATATATATATATATATATATATATATATATATATATATATATATATATATATATATATATATATATATATATATATATATATATATATATATATATAATATATATATATATATATATATATATATATATATATATATATATATATATATATATATATATATATATATATATATATATATATATATATATATATATATATATATATATATATATATATATATATATATATATATATATATATCTGAGTATATATGATGTATGATGATGTGATCAGTAGGATCGTGTGCATTTCGTGTGCTTGATATTTGTGTGTTGTGCATATCATGGTGTTCTGGTGGGATGAATCATGTCTCGGATGGAGCGTAAGTGATTCATCCGTACTCCTTTGTGGAGAATGGTGGGATTGAATCATGTCTCAGATGGAGCGTAAGTGATTCACCCGTACTCCTTTGTGGAGAATGGTGGGATGGATCATGTCTCAGGAGGAGCGTAAGTGATCCATCTGTACTCCTTTGTGGAGAATTGCGGAGTTGAATCATGTCTCGGATGGAGTGTAAGTGATTCACCCGTACTCCTTTGTGGAGAATGGTGGGAATAGATCATGTCTCAGGAGGAGCGTAAGTGATCTATTTCGGGGTTCGATTGAATGAACCAATGAGTCGGTATCGCATGCATGGTGTTGAGTTGCATTCTTGCAATATTGTATGTTGTGTTTGATGATTGGACAGTAGGTCGTGTTTGATGTTGGGCGGGGGGTGATGACTTTCATATTTTACTTCCTTTTTATTCATGTATTTTATTACCGATAATTTTGATCATGTTTTCTCACCCCTTTGTTGTTGTTGTGGTCTGTGCTTCTTCGGAAGTATAGATAATCCAGGTGCATAGCTAGCTTGGATAGTAGTGTGCGAGTCGAGTCCTAGGATGCTCTGATACGTAACACGGGACTTGGGAGTTTATTTGTTTTATGATAAATTTGTTCATTCCTGTGACGTATCTTATTTTGATGAATTCTCTTAACGATTATTTTTATGTAAATTGGCGGATGGCCTGGAGTGATGTACAAATGATTGTTTCCGCTGTATATTTTGAAAACCATGTAATGAAGTGTTTTGTTGAAATTGTGTTGAATGTGATATCCCACTTTTGGAAGGGAAACTCTGATATTTATTTGATTTAATTGTATTTTATTTTAATTTGGGAAAGTGGGGTGTTACATGCACCCTCATGAAATAAACAATGAGCGACAGGGTTGTAATTAGCTGGAAGCGGATTAGGAGGTGGACCCAAAGCTCTTGTAGTTATCAAACCTTGTTGCACTAGTGAAGGGTACAACTTGATGTAAGTCATCGAAATAGGAGGAATTGGCTTGTACTGTCTCCTCTTAGGAACATTCTGGCGAGGTGCTTGATTCTTCGGTTGTTGATAAGCAGGAGCATTGGGTGCTCGTTGATAATTGGCTAGAGCTTGTGCAGGCTGATAACCAGGAGGTTGTTGATAGACTGAAGGCTGATAAACATGAGCCGGTTGCACATGCTGATATGCAGGAACTTGTTGATTGAAAGCAGGTGTAACAGCAGCTACATATGGTTGTTGAGAAAACTGTATAGGATAGTCTTGTTATTGAACATAGTTTTGCTGAGGTTGCCAAGGTTGATTTCTTCGTCTACTTGCAGTTATGCCATTAGTTTCACCCTCTTTTTTCTTGTGAAAACTAAACTAATGCTTCTTGGCATGGTCTTTGTTGGAGCTTGAACTACATCAGTACTTGACATCTTCCCACTTTTCAGACCCAATTCTATCTTTACATCGACAACAACAATATCAGAGAAATTTGCAGTCACACTACCAACCATTCTTTCATAGAATTTCGGACGAACAGTGTCAACAAACCAATCAGCTAGCTCTTTTTCAGTCAAATGAGGTTCTACTTGCGAAGCAATTTCTCTCCATCTCTGAGCATACTCCTTGAATGATTCATAACTCTTCTAGGACATACTTAGTTATTATCTTCGATCAGATGCCAGATCCATATTGTACTTGTAATGTTTGATGAAGACATCAGACAGATCTTGGAAACTCTTAATATGAGACTGATCCAAAGTTAAGTACCATTTTGATGAAACACCCTTCAAACTGTCCTGGAAACAATGTATCATCAATTTGTCATTTTCAACATGAGCAGCCATTTTACGGTAATACATGATCAAGTGACTCTTCGGACATGTAGCTCCTTCATAACGATCAAAGCTGGGAGTTTTGAACTTCGGAGGGATAACCAGACCAGATACAAGACAGACTTCTCTGGCAGCAGCACCAAAGATTTGATCTCCTTCCATCATTCTCAACCTTTTGTCAATAGTTTCCACATTCTCCCAGAGCTTTTCATGACGTTCGTCTTCATCTTCCTTCACGTCAAGGATGTCATATACCAGTTCATTGAAGTAGGGTTGCTCATTAGTATGAACATCAGCTGACGCAAAAGTAGGGATCACTTTTGGAGCTTCAAAAACCAAAGGAACAGTTTGTTGAACTTGTTGAACAATAGGAACTGCAGCAGGAGTTGGCACAAACCCAGGTGAAAGACCATAAGGAGGTACATTTGCAATAGCAACAGATGGTTGAGGATCCACAACGACATTGGTAATCTCAGAAACAACAGTGGGCTGAGTATCCATCCTTGCACGAATAACTTGTAGCATCTCCATAATCTGCCCCACAATTCCCCGAAGATCTTCTAGTTCATTGCTAACACGACCAAGCTCTTGATTTTGTTCCGCCATCTTTTTACGAGCTCGAGCTCTGGTGTTGTACTGGTGCATAGGACTCAGGGTGACAGAACTGGAAGGCGAGAGAACCGAAGATAAGAAAACCGGAAGGAAAATGCAATGCAAAAACAGGATGCAATGCAATGCAATGTAGTGGTTTCAAGGATTTCAACAGCCAGTTGCAAATGTATTTCTGGAAAAGTTGAAAAAAGTTTAGATTTTTTGAAATTTTTAAGTCTTTTTTTTTAATTTGAAAAGGACTGACTAAATTACTTGAAACCAGGAATGTTATGATGCTGGAATGCAACAAACACACAAAAGCAAACAAAGGCCTTAAGTTAGAGAGTCATGAGCATGGAGCCATGGTCTATCCATCCCGAAAGGTATGTACTAAGGGTTAATTGTACTTGCAGAACAAGGATTTTAAGCGGTGCCCAAAGTCATTAGTCCATCTTTCAGATATTATCAATTTCCCGAATAACTCGGTGGTTAATAATATTCTCAAGAGAACCTCTTTTGAGTATAATATCACATAGCAACTATTTCGGAACTACTCCCTCATAGTCATCGCACTACGTCCTAATAAGGCCAAAGTTGTGTTTAGGGTAACTACGGTCCCCAGTATCACAGACTCCTAGGTCGAAAATAGTGAATGTTTTCACGAATACTCGTTCAACAATACTAATTTTTAAGAGGGTCTTAATTGAGCGGTGATTCTCAAGTCAGCTTGGTTGGGACTCACTCCCTATAAGCCTCGTCGAATCCATCACCTTTCTATAATAAGTGCACTCAAGTCCGGATGTAAGACTTATCTTGAAAATTAAGCTATATATATATATATATATATATTCAAAATGTCAAACATAATATTTAAGTCAAATACATTTCAATTTTAGTGATTGCATATTTGGATAGATAAATTGAACTGTATGACTTCAATCAAAACAAAATTGAATTGGATTAAAAAAGAATGAACCTCTAGAACACCCTTACTCAAATGAAATTAAAATACTTTCTTTTTGTCCCTTTCACTAGATCTCAGTTTATTTTTTATCAGTTATAGATCCCTGTCCCTAAACAGCTTCGCATCTTAAACAGTACTATAGCATAAACATTTCCTATCACTTTCTCTCACTCCTTTCACACCTTCAATTTGACTTCAAGTAGAAAAAGTGATTAAAAACAAGTACTATTAGATCAACACGCCAACTTTTTCATATCATTATTTTAAATAAAATTACTAATATTTTTAATATATAAATCATTCAATGAATATGTCCCTGGATATAATATATAATTATTTAATAAATTTAAAAAATTATTCTTTATTTATAATTTTGACTGGAATATATTATTTATAATACATATAAGCTTTAAAAAGCTTCGAAGTTTCTCTGATTATCAAGAACCCCATTTTCCATTTCAATGGCGAAAAACCATCTGGGTCTCTCTGAATTCCCTCATTCATCATCGATGGACCACTCTTCATCTTCTACATCCATCATCACTAGTAGCACACCCTTCTTAGAAACTCCAAAACATCCGTCTCCAAAACCACACAAAAAAACCATAGTGAAAACATTAATGGGAGCTGCAAACTTCACCTCCTCTTCCTTCAAAGAAGACACCTATTTCGTCTCCCACCTCAAATCCTCAGAGAAGAAAGCTTTACAAGAGTTCAAGAAAAGGCTCTTAGCATCAAAGGAAATCAACAACAGTGCTTCCATGTGGGGTGTGTCCTTACTTAATGGCAATGATGCTGCTTCTGCTGACGTGGTGCTCTTGAAGTTTCTCAGAGCTAGAGACTTTAGAGTCAGTGATGCTTACACCATGCTTGTGAGATGTCTTGCATGGAGAAAAGAGTTTGGTGCTGAGAATATTCTGGATGAGGAACTGGGATTCAAGGAGCTTGAAGGGGTTGTTACTTACACTCATGGTTATGATAGAAAAGGACACCCTGTGTGTTACAATCATTATGTTGTGTTTAAGGATAAGGATTTGTATGAGAGGATTTTTGGTGATGGAGAGAAGCTCAAGAGGTTTTTGAGATGGAGGGTTCAAGTTCTTGAGAGAGGAATCAAGCTTTTGAATTTTAAGCCTGGTGGGGTTAATTCCTTGATTCAAGTTACTGATCTTAAGGATATGCCTAGGAAAGAGCTAAGAACTGTTTCCAATGAGATTCTCACATTGTTTCAGGATAATTATCCTGAAATGGTTGCTCATAAGGTAGTACCTTGTTTCTTGAGATTCTTTTTATGTGATTTTGGTGTTTTTAATGTGAAATTTATTGGTTTCAGATATTCATCAATGTGCCATGGTATTTTAGCATCTTGTATTCAATTTACTGTCCGTTTCTGACTCAAAGAACTAAGAGCAAGTTTGTGATCTCTAAGGAAGGAAATGCAACAGAAACACTCTACAAGTATGTCTCTAACACATGATTAGTATATGCAGTTTTAGACAATTTGTGTTCAATCTTGAATTTATTTGAGTTTGTTTGTCTTTTTTTGTTCAGATTCATAAGGCCTGAGAATATTCCTGTTCAATATGGAGGATTGAGTCGGCCTAATGATTTTCAAAATGGTCCCCCAAAGCCAGCTTCTGAGTTCAGTGTTAAAGGAGGAGAAAAAGTGAACATACAAATAGAAGGAATCGAGGTAACAATTATGACCTATCTAGCACCAACACTTTTCAACAAAGCGTGTCCGTATTAGTGTCTGTCCGACATTACAGACACTAATACAGACCATCTTTGTTGGTATCAGTATCGTGTTTGACGTGTCTGAATTATATTTTTGTTAATTAGTTGGTATTTGTTGAATAGAATGGTGCAAGAGTCAAGTGGGAGATTGTTGTTGGAGGCTGGGAAGTACAATACAGTGCTGAATTTGTGCCAAATGCAGAAGGTAGCTACACTATAGCAGTTGATAAGGCAAGGAAAGTTGATGCATCAGAGGAAGTAATTGAGAGTTCATTTACATCAAAAGAAGGAGGCATAATAGTACTCACAGTTGATAACTCTGGTTCAAGGAAGAAAAAAGTTGGTGCTTATCGCCATGTTGTCTGCAAATGCAACAACACTAATACAGGATCTGATAATATGCAATTAATTGTGTATTAGTGAAAAAGTGAGTAAAGAAGAAAAAGCAAGAGGGTTTTGGCGTATTGAGATGAGTTTTGTCAGAGGTATTGTCGTCATTATTGGCATGTATGTGTGTGTGTGAAAGTACGAGTGAAATGAGTGGATATAGACATTGGTCATTAGAGTTACTCCCTGGTTTTGAAGGACTTTGATTTGATGTATGTTGCATGCAATCATGCAGTTAATAATCCAATGGTCACGATAGTCCAATGGCTTTTTTTATAAATCGTAATTTTATTTATTTATAAAAATTGATTTATGAGATGTTATTGATTAAGAGTGATAAAATGATTGAGTTTTTTTTATTAGGCTTTTTGACTAGATTTGTATCGAGTTACACCTTTGTATTTAAAGTATTTGTTCGGTTCAGAACAGTCGTCCACAAGATTTTGACGAATAAAGATTAGTCGGAGGAAGTCTTCGAAGTCGTAGCCAACTTCTAGAAATGGTGTTTTGTTACGAAGAAGTCTTCGAAGTCGTGGCCCACTTCTAGAAATGGTGTTTTGTTATGAATATTGTCTAGGGATGCTGAAGTGAAATAGAGGCAATTCCTAAAAGATGTCAAACAAATCTAAAATTAACTTTTACTTTCATTTTTCGGTGATAATTACATTTTTCGGCGATAATTACATTCACCAATTATATATCTATAACACAAAATAAATTAATTATTCACTATCTACATTTTTTCAAAAGTAGTGAGCCAGTTAACAATGCATTATTTGAGTCCGTTAACAATAGGGGTGGCAAAATGGATGAATTGGATGAATATGGATTGAATTGTTAATAGATGGATCAAAACAATCCACTAAAATTTTCTTAAAATTATCCAATCCAATCTATCCGTTAACATATTTTTAATGGATAGATATCCATCCATCCAACTTTTTTATTATTTCAAAAAAATAAACATATTTTTTTTATTTGAAAATTCATTTTGTATTTAATTTTTTTTAATATATTTATGAAAAAATTGATATTTTAATTTTTGAAAAATATCGATTTTTTTTTAAAAAGTCAGTTTTTTTTGAGAAAATTTAAATTTCTTATATTTTCTAAAAAATTGATATTTTAATTTAAAAAAAAAATCAGTTTTTTTTATAAAAAAAAATTGGTTTTTCGTTTCGGAAAAAGAAATCGTTTTTTTCGTAAAAGTAAAATCGATTTTTTTTTCAAAAAAAAAATCAGTCTTTGGTTTTGGAAAAAAAGAATTTGAAAAAAAAAACCGGTATTTTCGAAAATAAAAAAACCGACTTCAAATTTTTTTTGAAAAAAGATCTGATTTTTTTTTTTTTGGAAAAATTTCGATTTTTTTATTGGAAAAATTAAATTCTTTTCTTTTAAAAAATTTATTTTTAATTATTTAAAAAAAATAAAAATAATTTATTGAATCTTTAAAATATGTTAGATGTGTTGAATTCATCAATGCATATAAATAGATGTATTTAATCCAATCAATTAATTTATTTTTTATATGGTGGATTAGATAGATTTTTTGATGAATAGATTTGATGAATTTTATCTTAATGGATTCAATTGTCATCTCTAATTAAGAATGCATTATGTCTGATATTACTATTTTCAATGACCCCCAAAATTGTTAACATATCAGCAGTATAGTTGCTGAATGTCAATACCTCTACAATTCCAAATTTCTGAACATGCTTAATATGTAAATACTCCCTAGAAAAAGAAACTTCTAACATATAAAAAATTCCCATATCTTGATTCTTAGTTGATAACAATGTTTTATGGAGCTTATATTTATCAAATTTGATAGCAATAAGTGCAGTGCAAATATACTTCCCAACATTAAATGAGTGAATTGCTACAACAACCTCTTTATGTTTATAGCAAAGTCTTGTAATTTTCTAGAATCAAGATAAATAAGTCTTCCAAATCTCTAGTGATGTGTTTTATGAAACCAATACTTTGCAAGTGATGCATGCCTCAAGATCTTAGAAATCAACATAGCTATTACAATATGTTGAACCATAAAAAATCTCTTTAAATAAAATTTATCGAGATGAGCATTGATGGTATCATTCTTGGGCCAAATACAAAACTCAGCAGTTGGTTTGAGAATTCTGGTTTTCTTGAAATTATAGATGTGACTTGGAACTCGATTCAAATTAAGGGAAGTTCTAGCCATATTTTTGTGAAAAAGTTTGAAATTATGAGAGATTGTATTCGTGGGTGCAACAAAAATGTGTTCAGATGGATTGATTTATTCATAGAGGAGGGTGTGAAATCTCTCAAAGAAATTGAAGATATGTTGGTGTGTGAGGAAGACATTGTCTCAGAAGTACAACTCAAGCAACGGGTCAATGTTGTGGAAAAATTATGGAATAATTTGAAAGCCAAAAAAAGCATGATTCTACATAAATCTAAGGCTAAATGGATTAGAGAAGGAGATTCAAACTCTCGATACTTTCATACCATGCTTAAAGTTAGGGCGAGGAGGAATAATATTTCAGTTTTGGATTCTAGAAACGGTCTGGTTGAAGAGGTTGAGCAAGTGAAGAGTATGACCAAGAATTTCTTCAAAGATAAATTAAAGAGAGTCGAGGGCAAGGGCATTCATCTCAATATGTCGGGCTTACGTAAACTTTCTGAAGAAGATAATACAATGTTGACTGAGCCTTTTAATAATGAAGAAATTTGGACGACACTTTCTGTTGAAGAGGGCAATAAAAGTCCCGGTCCCGACGGGTTCAATCTTAACTTTTTGAGGCGTTGCTGGAATACTGTTGGCAATGATGTTACGAAGTTTATACATCACTTCCACAAGTGTGCTTCACTACCTAAAGTCTTGGCTTCTTCTTTTGTCGCACTCATTTCAAAAAGGGAGAGTCCTAAAAAACAAGAACATTTCAGACCTAGTGGCTTGGTGGGTTGTGTCTACAAAATTATTGCTAAAATGTTGGCCAGTAGGTTGAGCAGAGTAATTGGAAAGTTGGTTTCGTCATCGCATACAACATTTATACATGGATAACAAATGTTAGATGCAGTGCCGCTTGTGAATGAAGTTCTGGATTTGGAAAAGAGGAGAAAAGAGAAATGCATGGTATTCAAAGTGGACTTCCAACTAGTATATGACTGTGTCGATTGGTTTTTCTTTGAGGAGGTGCTAAAAGCTATGAATTTCAATCATAATTGAATTAAGTGGATCAAAGGGGGAGCCTTAAACTGTTTCATATCAACGTTAGTGAATGGTGGGACTACTGGTGATTTTAAGGCAAGTAGAGGACTTCGACAGGGTGACCCGCTCTCCTCGTTCTTATTCTCGTTGGTTGCGGAGGGAATGGCGAAAATGTTAAGAATGGCAAATTCCAAAGGTTTGTTGAGAGGACTTAAAGCGAGTGGTGACGATTATGTTAACCTGGTTCAGTTTGTGGATGACACTATACTAGTATGTGATGGTTCGTGGCAAGATCTTTAGGACACTAACGCTTTGTTGAGAGGTCTCGAATTGCAGTCCGTTCTTCGCATTAACTTTTGGAAGAGTAGTATTTATGGAATTGGATTAGATTTTTCGTTCATGAAGGATGCTGTGACATTTCTTAGCGTGAAGGGTAGGCATTTTACCGTTCAAATTCTTAGGCCTTGGCGTGGGAGGTAATCATGCTAAACTGACATTTTAGAAACCGGTGGAGGAGACCTTCAAATGCAGATTATCATCGTGGCGTGGAAAGGTTCTTTTGATGAGGGGCAGGATTATACTTATCAATTTTGTTATCTCAAATCTGCCTATTCATCATCTTTCCTTCTTTAAGATGTCGTCGAAGGTGTTGAAAGAGCTAACTTCCATCCAACGGAAATTCTTGTGGTCAGGAGTGCGTGCAAAGTGTAACACCCCCTTCTATACCCCCAAATAAATAATTAAATCACATAAGCACAAAATAAATTCATCAGAGTAATTTAAAATATGGTATAAAAGAAGTATGCCACATAATTCACCAAAATAACATACAACACCTGCTCTATAAAAGACATGCAACAGTGGGGTAGTTCAACAGAGGAACTTAGTCCTACACCTACATATCAATAGTTAGAAATTAAAGCGGAAGATTAAAACATTGAATTACTTAAGACATGTTATCATTTAAATACATGATTCAGTTTGGTTCACAATATCATTCATGTATACAAAACATTATCAAAAGATACATACACGAATGTATCACAGAGGAATACTATACAATCCTAACTACCCGGTGCTACATATCAGAGCATAACCGACCAAAAAGGATGAAACTAAACTTCACAAAAGACCTCCAGCAACCTAATCTACAATGCCTCATGGAGCATTATAAAAAAGCAGAAGGGTGAGAAATATTATCATAATAGTCAAGCATATAAATATATACACATACACAAGTATAAAACACATACTTTCACATTTCTCACCACAAATCATTCCAACCATAATATACATCACATAAAGGTAAACTTTCATACAACAATACACATTAATCATGTGACTCAATGCAACTTATGCCATGTGGTACCAACACTTGTTATCATTTTTCGGTTTTTACACTTAAACCGGGTCCACCCTTCTAGACCGATAACAACAAAAGCCCGTTCCCTAAGCTTTCAAACCCACCCTTCTAGGTTTGGGACAAGTCACTAGTCTCCACGAAACTAGCAAATATTGCCTCTTGACTAAATGATGCATATGCAATCGACCACCAAATGCACTTAAGACCGTATCGCATCTTAATCCCATGCATTCACATAATTCATCACACAAGAATTATAACATGATTGCACACACAACATATTCATATATCATCAATACATTTATCAAGCAATGCACACATATTCACAATATGTTCTCATGCATTCTATACATACAATCTCATACAAATAATATGTATTCATAATCAATTCCACAGTCTAGGATTCACGCCTTACGGCTACCCACAACATATATTTCACAGTATACAATTACTCATTTCCAACGAGGATTAAAC